ACACACACACACACACACACACACACACACACACACACACACACACACACACACACACACACACACACGTATGAATAATGGGAATACATAATGTAAACAAACACACATACATAAACATGTCTCTGTCAGAGCAGCACAACATGTGTAAATTCGCATTATTTGAGGTACACATACAATTAACCGCATTCATAAGAGCGCTGATTATGACTAAGGTGTAAATAATTAAATAATTGCATTAGAACTTACAGAATTTGACGTAAAAGCAGAAATATTCACAGAAAGGCCTGCAGGAATGTCAAAACTCTTGCTGCACCCTGATCCCAACCCACACTAATCTACTTCCGGCTTGTGTGCCAACTCATTCTACACGTGACAACTTCCCGCGTCAAAACCGGGAAATGCTAGCATAAAAGTCTCTGTTTAATCAAATTAAATGACAAAATATATATTAATAGCGTAAAAAATAAATAAAAGTTAAAAATAAATAAATAAACGTTTTTTTTTTTCAGTAGTTCCTCTTATTTTCCATTAATTTGAGAAAATCGTGTCAGATGCAAAGCCCATATCATGTGAATTGTGTAGAAAATTGAACACCAGAGATTTTGGGGTTAAACCCCGCTATTATTATGACATATCACATTGCAAATCACATTCAAAACAATGTTTATTCCATACATAAATACAATAATTATTTATCTTCTGCCATGATTAAACATTTAGTTTTAGATATGCTCTCTTGAATAGTGACATAAGGCAATTATATGTTCAAGAGCCCACTGCTTTTCACATTTCACTGCTCAGACAATAAAAATACAGATATAATAAAACAAAACTCATACAAAAAGAACACAGTAACTACACTTACACAATGTGTTTAGGTCAGAAATGCAGTTTTTTTTCATATATATATATAATATAAATTAGTTTAAATCTGAAAGTGCACTTTGAAGAAAATAACGTTTGCTTGACTTTTATATGTATATGTGATACTCTCACGCATAAAACAGATGAAATGTATAAGGCACTACAAAAAGCATTAATGAACACACAATATGGCAAAACACTTTAGTAAAAAAGCAATACTATACTAAGAATGCCTATAAATGATTTCATTATAAGGCAGCACCTTTTGAATTCCAAGTATGATGAGGATTTTCATTCATTTTCCCAGTTCCAGCATTCAAAACACAAAATCTGTTTACATTAGTATTATAACTAGTCAATCACAATATCAAATGCACAACAATGAGGCATCAGCATAAATATGAGGTACCATAAAGTACGTCAGCACAGTTTAGTTTAGAAGTACCATCTTTCATAACAGAGTTTAATATTGTGAGCATAATAAGGCACTTGAAATATAACCCTCATCTTTTCCTTTGGAAATAGGGCAGGAGTGTAAGACCTGTAGGCACAATGTGTTTTTCATCTTTTCTCATTTATCATGTTTCTTCAATTTCCTTTCTTCTTTCCTGGAGCCTTGGGACTAAAAGTAACAAAAGAGAGAGAGAGAGAGAAACAACACATTAATTGCGTAGTCAAAAGAGAAGCAATGCAAGAATATGCAATGTACTGGTATATATTTCTCCACACATGTGGATTCGCTCACATTATGTGTATCTGTCTGTCACAATACTTGTTTTTACACACACAAGTCAATGCATTCTTGCAATGCAATGCACACAGAGGTAATTATGTAAAACATGTACGCAGCGATCTCACATTGCTCATTGGGAAATGTATATCTGAGTTTTGCTTGTATTTTAATGGTAATTTGTGAGAAGTATCCATAAATGAAAGTATGGACACACCTTTGTAATAAACAGATTTAGCTATTTAAACTAAACTCATGATAAACAGGCACAAAAAAAGTCAATATAAGTAATGGGTGCCATCAGAATGAGAGTCTAAACAGCTGATAAAAACATCATAAAACACAAATAATTTCTTACAAACATGCATCTTTTCACTTCACAAGACATTAATTGTTGGACTGGAGTGGTGTGGATTACTTGTGGATTTTTGTGATTTTTTTATCAGCTTTTTGGACTCTCATTCTGACGGCACCCATTCACTGCAGAGGATCCATTGCTGAGCAAGTGATGTAATGCTAATTTTCTCCAAATCCGTTCTGATCAAGAAATAAACTAATTTACATCTTGGATGGCCTGAGGGTGAGTAAATCTTCAGCAAATGTTGGGTGAATTTTTGGGTGAATTATTCCTTTAAATTAGCATTTATAGTATTCTTTTCTACATGACAATGTCACTTATGCAAGGTCCATGGAGATGATATTTGCTCCATCTTTAGTTGAAGGCCTTCCCAAAAAGGTAGAGGCTTTTATGGAGGATCAATTCCCTAATTAGTTACAATGTTTATGGAATTAATAGTTCAACGAGCATGTAAGTGTGGTGTTCAATTTTCCTCATACTTTAGGCCATGCAGTTTATTTATATAAAAGATACAAGAGTTCAGTTTGTGGTTAGTACCCTCATGCAGGTTTTGAGCAAAATCGCATCTGATAACCTGTTCTGGTTGCATTTTTGATGTCAGAATTTGCCCTGAAAATCCAGCTTTTCATGATGTAAAACTGATTTAAGGTGTTTTTACAGGTGAAGAAATTACAGTTACAGAAAAAAGCAGTTTGATGTATAAAATGCTCAATCAGCAAATCATGACTGAAATGAATTATTAACATTTCTGAATCATGGATTTGTGCATCACTGCATTTAATGTATGCTGATTTAAAAATATATATATATAATGCTATTACCGTGTGTAAATTACTATTTAAAAAAAGAATCACTAAGAACACATGGGAATTACAACAAAAACTCAAACCACAGTGAAAAATCCAGATGTATTACATTCTTACAGCAATGAAAAAATATATGAGAAATTAAATTATTGCATTAATTGCTCTAAAAATAGTCTTCATACAAAACTGCATTTCTTGTTTATTTATGCTTTGATTTTGGTGTGAAATGTGATATGTTTTATCTACACTGGGGTTATACACACATGCACACACAAGGAAGATTCACTTCTGAGGCTCATATAAGAAACAGCAACTCTATTCTCTGTTTGATGTTTATTGTCAGCCTCAAGAAAGAGGCCACTATAAGAAATTAGCCACCAGGGGCTGTATTTCAACTCTTCACAGACTATTTACAATATAGATCATAGTGCCAGAGACAAGGCTTAACAGAGGCCGTCCTCGATTTATCAGCTGTGATGATGAAATCTGAGCAGTCTTTCTGCAATAGGAGGTGTTAACAGTTGTCACAGAACACAAAATTGAACAGAATTCGCAACTGGACATGTGCAATGTTTTGTATTTTTGTACATGCGATCACTTTCAGCTCGAGTATTTAAAATCAGATCTAATCACCAATGAGCCAAAAGAAAACAAAGACAGTGTTTTCAGTTCACATTGTACTTGTTTCAGTGCGATTCACTGAAAATGCTCCCATCTTTTGTAACCCTAATATTCATGATAATATATCTTAAAGGGCCATGTTCTGACATACAACCATCATAATAATCTCTCATGAACAAATATGAAAATTTGCATGATGGTCAGCATCACGCACAAGTGTTTTGTGTCAGAAAATGGCTTGTGGTAAATTCTCTCATACCCAAACACACACATACACACACACACACACTCAATAACATATATATTACCACAAACACAATCACTTCAGCTGCCTGAGGCCACTCTCGGCTCATTCGTTTCTGAAAGTCTCTGAAAACAATTCAGCGATGGGATTTAAGATCTAGACTATCAGCTTTAGAGCTGCAGCGAACTAGTAACATTACAATTTGTGAACTAAAATCAACATGAAATGATAATTAGAACTTTTTTTTTTACCTTTTTAGCATGTTAAATGATAAACATGTATACCAAAGGTATTGATTCGATCTTCAGTCAGCATTGGAGGCCAAAAGTTTGGAGTAATTAAGATTTTACTTTTTTTTTTTTTAAGTAGTCTCTTATGCTCAACAAGACTGCATTTATTTGATCAAAAATACAGTAAAACCAGTAATAGTAAACAATTATTAAATTTAAAGTACTGCTTTTTTTTGAATGTTTGAATGTAATTTACTGCTGTGATGGCAAAGCTGAATTTTCAGTTATTTTTGGTGCTCAGTAATGGTTCTTATCAATGTTGAAAGCAGTTTTTGCTGCTTAATATTTTTGTGGAAACTGATACATTTTTATTTGTAAAATTATAAATGTCTTAATTAACTCAACTGTCATTTTGACCAATTTAATGCATCCCTACAATAATAAATAAAATAATTATTTATTTTTTATGATACTTGCCCCAAAATTTTGAATGGTACTAGTGTATCACGGTTTCCATAAAAATATTAAGCAGCACAACTGTTTTCAACATTGATAATAATAAGAAATGTTTCTTGACACTGAATGTGACACTGAAGACTGAAGTAATGATGCTGAAAATTTAGTTTTGCATCACAGCAATACATTTCATTTTCAAATATATTAAAATAGAAAAAATATATTTTAAATTGTAATAATATTTTACAATATTACTGTACTATTTACTGTAATTTAATCAAATAAATGCAGCCTTAAAAAAAAAAAAAAACTTAATTATTCCAAACTGTTGGCCACTAGCGTAAAAGGGAATTTTATAGTCATAACATTAGTACATTAATAGCCAATACATTTCTGCATTACCTATTTTAATATACTTTTGCGGATGGGCAAATTGTTACATTTAGATAAAACATTAAAAAATAAAAAATAAATGCGCACAGCATCATGTAATAAATGAAATAGAGTAATTTCATGTTGACTTTAAAAAAATTAAAAGCCAATTATTAGTGCATATGTAAACAACCAAAGTAAACTGAATCACTGCGGGCCACAGTTCTTCACCCTAAAACAATGTGAAGAATTCAAATCTACTGACTAAATTCATCATTCAGCAATCAAGCAGCACTTAACCCAGTCCTTTTAATATTACATGAATCGTAACATGCATATAAAACCCATTACAAGCAACAAAACCTCTTCACCAAACTACAACCATATACTTCCCCCCAACCCTAACGTATGATCCATCACCTGTTGTTGCTCCCCAAATACAACATGTGCTCTGGTAAGCATACTGACTACTGCAAAAATAATAAAATAAATAAAAATACAAAAAAATAAAACATTCATTTTTTTTTTATCAGGACGTGCTCTTGAGGTGTGTGGGGATTTACTGAGAACAGTTTTGGCATATTTGTATCAAATATGTGCACAAAATTGTTTGTACAATACATAACATAAGATAAATTCACAAATCTTGATTCATTTTTTGCATCATAAAAGAAGATATAGTATTTTGATATTATGTACAGTGTAAGAACTATATTAACATATATAGTTCCCATTCAGTCGCAAGTTGATTGAGAAAGGCACAGCATTAACCATTTGTTGGTTAAGCAAAATTAGTCCCCCTTACACGCATATGCACACACAATGAAAACAGCCTTCATTAAGGTGCCATTTGGTTAGAAAATGACCAAGTTAGTCAATTTTCCACACAGAAAAGAGCTGCGAGCTGAAAATGCCAAAGACAAGGGTGGTAAAGCAAAATTCCATACGGAAACAATGTGTTAAGTGACCGCTTGTCAAATATTTAACTAGTTCTGTAGTTGAGTTCAATATATTAATGGAGCTCAATGTCAATTAGTGGCCATTTTCAGACTTGTGAGGATGGCATCTCTTAACACATTGCATTATGGGTAAGGAGGACTGGCAGAGATAAATGTTTGAGATGAATGTAACTTATAAGTCCCTGCAAGCTGATTTAAAAGCATCCCTTTATCTGACACCTCTACTATTATGTGAGTCCAAAATCACTCAGAATGAGACCAAACTCAACACGCCGGCAACAAAGTGCCACATTACTGCTACAGATATGCATGAATCAAGCTCTTTGCCACTTTACAAACTTTAGGTATTGCCATGAGGTATTACCATGTTTTGCCTGTAAACACAGCAGACATTCACCCAGCTTTTCTCAACCATTATTTTTCTTTGTCTCTATTAACACAGTTAACAATGATTTTGGCAAAGAACTTGTAGCATGTAGAAGTAGCTGTGAGTGAATCTCACAAAACCTGTCTAAATAATGTCTGGGATTAATTTTATACCAAAATCTAAAAGAGAAAAAAACTGAAATTTCATACATATTATTAAAAAAAAAAAAAAAATTAAATTTTTGTGCAAAGAAAATTAAGCCTGTTTTGTGGACCATTACGGTTTTTGCATTGTGACTTTTTGCATTATTTTCAACACAAATAAGCACATTCTTTTCCTAAATTCTTAATGCCATAAAATATAAAAAATTATATTTTATTTAAATGTAAGAGAATTTATTTGTCATTTTAGTATTTTATTTGTAGTAGGTGTTGTATTGAATTTAATTCTTCTTGTTTTTAAGTAAAAAATATATATTATTTCAATTTCAAAAGTATTCATGTATCATGGTAGTATATGTTGTACTGAATTCAATTTGTGTTGTTAAAAAAAAACAAAAAAAAAACAAAAAAAAACTTTGTATCCAGACAGGATAATTTTTTTTGTATTGCATTGCATTAATACAAATTTGGGAGTTAAATGTGCTTAAATTTCACAATGCAAACATTTGTATTGGTACTTATTAGGATTCGATTTTTTTCTCTTGATTCTTGATTTTGAAGTAGACGTTTTGTGAGATTCACCCATTAGTTTTCAAGTCAATTCAGCCCAAAATGTTCCTCTGCTCAGCACTATCCTGGCAATTATGTTCACATCTTCTTCCCCAAGATTGAGCTGTCTAACAGGAAAAAGCTGTTTTTTTAAGGCAAACAGGGAAGGGAGGTGAAGACATTTGAGAGAGATATGCCTACGAAGGTGAAAAATGCCACTGCTTGTTTTTGGTATTAAAAAAAGAAACACTGAAAACAGCAAAACCCACATCTACGTCTCTCTGGCTTGTGCTTTCCAAAAGAATTAGGTGCCAACAGCCACGTTCAAGAACGACCTAGTCTAAACCAGATGGTTAAGAAGCACCCAAACCCACAGCAGCAGAGAGAAACAAGTAAGAGGAGAGAGTTAGGACTTCCACCAAGAGAGGTAAAGAGCGATTAATGGAAGGGGACACAGATTTCATTTCATTTCACCAGCACTGACTTTGGGAGGAAAGCATCCAGCTCCGAGTCTCCTCCTTTGCTGTGACTAGATGAAGATGTGCTGGTGCTGGAAGTGCTGGAGTTCGGTTTGGGGAGACTGTACATGTAGACGGCTCCGATGACCAATCCTGCGCCCAGCGTGAAGATCAGGTCCACGTGGAAGCCGAAGAGGTAGACGGAAGTGATCGTGGACACGATGATGGAAAAAGAGGTGGCGAAGCCTTTGAGAATGTTGTCCGCGTATTTTACGACAACAGCTACCAGGAGGCCGCCGAAGGCCTGGTTGAAGATGACGCCCCACACCATGGGCGTGTAGCCAAACAGGAAGCCTTTCTCAGCAATGGCGGCGCCGTCGTTCCACCACATGCCGAGGAGACCCAAAACTGTCCCGAAGATCCCGAGCTGGATGTTTCTCATCCACACCGAGGCCGAGCTGCCCTTCAAGATCTTCTCGAAGTAAACGCCGGCAAACCCGGAGGATAAGCAAGAAATTATCACGGACACCAGGCCCTTGAAGTAGTTCTGGTTGGCGCTGGTCACAGCCTCCTTCTGTTTTCCACCCTCCTGCTCCACCTGGACGATCGCTACACCGGCGAACAGCAGCACTAGAGAGATCCACTGGATTTTAGACAGACTCTTGCGCAGCATGAGCACTGAAAACAACGCTGTGGTCAAGATCTTCAGCTGATATGTGACCTACAGAAAACAAATCTAATTGGTTAAATATTGTTTAAAATACATGTCCATTTAATTAATATTTTGTGTACCTCATTAAACTGTATTTTCATTTATCTATAAGCATTGGCCGCTAAAAATATTTAACATTTTAAAACATTTAATAGCATCTATGATTTAAACTTCAATTGCAAAAACGGTGTTCGATAGTATGTTCAATTAATTTCTATGAATCTGTTCTGGTTCTGTTTCGATTAAATAATTCAAAACTCTGATTCACTCAGAAATGTTTAAAATGTTTTAGTGTATTAAAATTTTTTCGTAAAACATATATTTTGATAAACATGAAAGTTTGTTACTATATATCGTTACATTGAAATTTACATACAATATAGATTAAAATATTATAAGCAGACTCTCAAAGTGAAAAGGAGTGAATCAGCAGAGAGGAGGAAGGAAGGGCATAAACAAATTGTGGAGCAGCCTTACCTGGAAAGTGGCTGCTGGTAAATTAGAAATGGCCACATACTGCAGGTTGTTCTGTAAAGTGTAGATGAGTGACGGAACTGCTAACTTCAGTGTGTCCAAATACTGTACGACTAGAGAGTCATACAACAACGATACAAAGGACTTCACATTACCTGTTTTCAGAAAAAATGAGAAAGGATACATTATCATCAGACACACTGCTGCAATACTACTACTAATAATAAACGTAATCATTTAAAAAATATATATTAATTATTATTATTAGTAGTAGTAGTAGTAGTATTGTTATTGCATACACCACCATTCAAAAGTTTAGGGTCGATAGATTTAAAAAAAAAAAGTTTTTTTATCTTATAATCTTTGTATCTCATCAAGGCTGCATTTATTTGATTGAAAATTCAGTAAACTGTAATATTGTGAAATATTACAACAATTAAACAAAAATAAAATCCTCTAAATATAAGAAATGTTTTTTATTTGAATATATTTTAAATTGTAATTTATTCCTGTGAAGCAAAGCTGAATTTTCAGCATCATTACTCCAGACTTCAGTGTCACGCGATCCTTCAGAAATTATTTTAATAAAATTATTTAATGCTCAAGAAACATTTCTTATTATTATCAATGTCGAAAACAGTTCTGCTGCTTAATATTTTTGTGAAACCATGATACATCTTTTTTCTCCAGGATTTTCTGATGAATAGAAAATTAAAGCATTCACAGCATTTATTTGAAATAGAAATCATTTGTAACATTTTAAATAACTTTAGATCAATTTAATAAAAATATTAATTTCTTAAAAAAAAAATTAAAAAAAACATACTGACCCCAAACTATGTAGATTAGTGTTTGGGCACTTTAGCCACACTTAAAATATATGAATGCCATTAAAATATTAAGGTGGCATTTCTTTTAAAATGCATTTTAAATCATAATAAATGTATACATTGTTCAAAAATAACAAAGTATTAACTGTGAGATAAGACATTAATCTTTGAACCTAATACACATTATGTCACTAGCTGCAATTTAACATGCCACCGTGTGTTTCCAGTGAACGCACCTCTCTTCTGTATCAGGATGATGACCAGACAGGTGAGGACTTTAAGAACTTCTGCCATCACCACGGCTGATGTGGTGTAGAAATGTTCTCCTGGCAACGTTCGCACGTAACGGATGCTGAGGATGAGCGATGCATTCTGGATCACCAGAATCGCCAAACTGATGTACTTCAACTTCTTGTTGACTGCAAGAGACATAATCTTTTAGTCAACTTTTAGTCAAACCTAGGTTTTTCACTGCCAGTGTGAAACCGGAATAACTGGAGGGCTGAATTAACAGATCTGAACACTGACGTCAGCGTTTCACTTTTCTGAATGAGGCTAGTCAATGTTAATTTGTATTTTCAGTTAGGACACACCTACATATGTCGACAGTGGGCGAATGTTTGCTCAACCCAGTGGCAACACCCTGCTTACATACAGACACTTCATTCATTCACTAAACACTTTCCTAGTTCATTTATTACTGAATACCGGTTCATTTATTAGTTCGCCGGCAAAGTAGTTGCCAAACAGCCAAAACTACAACATTATCTGACTTACACAATATTAAAGGGTGAGAAAACAAAATCAAAGAAATAAATAAAGGCAAACATTATTATTAGGGAGAATACATATAACAAAAAAGTTGTTTAAGCTCAGGTTACTAGAGAGAGGCTGTGGACACTACAGACATGATGAACAGGATCTGTGAAACTTAAGAACTTGTTTTGCTGGTTTTCAGTGCGCTGATGTCTTTTCTTCTATAAAGAAAGTCATAAATGCAGACAGACATAAGAAAATGTCACACACCCTCTGCCACACCGTCAAAACCCATCTGACAGGTAAAAAGAGCTCCTGTCTGCAAGATAGGCAGGACAAAACGTTTCACAGGTTATTTACTGACTGGGGAAATTCAAAGCACTTTACATGAGAAAATCACTGCCACGATTAACCCTTGTGGTGCATAACATCCACTACAACAGCAGTTCTGGAGCATTTTTACACATACAAAGCACTGCAAAGTCAGGTACAACTTTTAACACTAGCTAATGCATTAGTTATGAACTAACAATTAACATTTTTACAGTATTTACTAATAGAGGCTGACCGATTGATTATCGGTTTTGCTGATTAATCGGGACCGATAGTTGATTGCCGAAACTATCGGCAAAATCCATTCCAATAGTTTTTCTGGGTTTCTTCTGTTGCTGAAGTGTCTGAGAAGGTCTGCTGTCATTAGACAGTACGAGAGCGGCCTCTAGATGTGGAATCACTGACGCCTCTGGCTGTTTGTTTCGACACATGACACTGCGCACTGCACAGAGCGAGACAATTCAGATGGGGATTTAAAGGGTTAGTTCACCCAAAAATGTCATGAGGGTGAGTAATTAATGACAGAATTTTCATTTTTGGGTGAACTAACCCTTTAAAACACAACGAACAGTGTGTATACAGTACACTATAGTGCATGTTTTCATATTATTACTACGGAATTAATTTGCTAACTAGATGTTGAATTAGTAGAGAAAGATCAGCAGTTTGCTTTCAAGGCTGAGAGGACGCGAACATTAGCATTGCCTCAAGCGGTTAAAACAATGTGACCAAAACACATGCAAGTCCAACCCAAATGTTTAATGTCACGATTGTTACCATCTGCAATGCAAATGCATTAGTTTATTTCCAGCTGGTCACATTAATGCATTTGTTATCCAGCGAAGTTGCAGGTTTAAAGCAAACTGATATGTTGCCATTCACACGGTTTTCCATTAAATTACGCTATATTTGTCCCAAATCATTGTTCATGTACATAATGACACCACCCTAGGCTGTAAGATTGTGTATTGTGCATTTTTCATTGAAACGGTGGTATTTCTATGGCTCTAATAAAGTCTGCTTCATATAGAGAGCAATAATATAGATCACATTTTCTCTTTCCGTTTTGCTCTGTTTTTTTAAACACCGAACTTCAAACTCATCTACGCCACTTTGTTTATTCTTTATTCCTGAACTTTTGCCGGTTTGGTGATTAAAATTACTGTTTTGGATGCCACTTGAATTGAATGTGACACGCGTCCGGTGTGAGTTGTCCTAGACGCGACGCAGAGCTGTGCTTTTGCCCAGTGTGACTAACATATTTTGTTATTTTGATTAGATAATCAAGTGTTCTAAAATAAATGCAAATAAAGTGTGAGAGTATACATACAATATCCATATGTATGTCATTTCAATGCTATAGTCTTTGTGTAGATATGTAAAGATGGCCATCTTTAAGCATGACTGTTGAAATTAAATGGTAACACTTTACAACAATAGTAAAGCACTATTTTAGTTTTCGTTCCGTATCCATTTGAAAAACTATCGAATGATTAATCGGTATCGGCCAGTGTGGTCCAACCTAGCTATCGGTATCGGCAAAATCCACTATCGGTCGACCTCCATTTACTAATGTAGATCGTTGATTTATAAATATAGCATTATTTATTGTTCATTCATATTCGTTCACCAAAAATGGTTAACTTTTACATCTTGAGAACATCTACATTAACACAGAACTAACCATTACAAAAACTAGATTAATAAATGCTGTAAAAATGTCCATTGTTAGTTCTTTTTTTTGGTAATTTGTTTTTTGAAGTAAAAACAATATATATAAAAAATATATAGGTTAAAAAAAAGAGAAATATACAAGAAAAAAAGTGATAAAACATTATCGGGGCTCTACACCACAACTAATCTTACAAAAAATGTCCCGTGGTAAACCACAACTGGTTTACAAATGGTACTTTTATACACACTATATTACTGAATGCCTGCCAAGTTCATGCCATTTACATAGCACTTCAAAAAAAATGCTATAGTACATATGCATAAGATCTATGGCACTATGACATAATAGTTTCCGACAAAAAAAAAAATTACTACAGATGTTATTGTTGTTACTGTATAATCATAATAAATTAATGTGAGACCAACTTTAAATGAGAATCTTTGCATTTTACTTCGCTGAATACTTGAATGATTGTCATTCTCGTGAACCATGGTTTTTTTATTCTAGGATACTATAAGGAATACCATGGTACTTTTTGTAAGTGATGGTAACTTATGGCAATACCATAGTACCATGTTCATATACCATGTTATTTACATTGTCCGTCAAACACTACCGTGATATACGTCCAAAAATCATGGTAATATCAAAGTACGACTTTATTAGAGGTGACTATGGAATTTGGGTGGTAACTATGGCTACCATGATACATTTTTAACGGGGGAGTTGACGTCTTCGTTGCATTCGTTGAAATCATGGAGTCCTTGAGCAGTCAAGATGTTTAAATAATTGCTGTTTCTCACCTTCATTCTGTCTTCGGGCGGATGTTTTATCTTCAGTGTTTCTGTTAGGACTCTCATTGCTTGCTGCTACTGCCATTATCATCATCAAACATGAAGCCCAATCTGTCCACAAACTCTCTGGAAACGATCAGAGGTGCTCGAGGAAAAGTGTTGACGTCCCCAAACACACAAGCACTTCCTGTTAACGTCCGCTTCTTCTTCTTCACTTCCTTGTGTTCTGAATTATGGAAACGTTTTAGCGCCACCTGCAGGCTCGGGTCAAACAAATAACATTACCAAAAAAGTTATGGTAAACTTTTTTTTAAAAAGTAGGCCTACCACAAAATTACCAGCGTTGGGAAGGTTACTTTGGAAACATAATATGTGTGTCCATATTTAAAATGTAATAAGTAGTGTAACTATTTCAATTTAGGCTACTTTGTTAAAGTAATGTAACTGATTACTTTCAATTACTTTTCTACATTTCTAACTAATGCTTTCAACTGATATAATCATTTTGAAACATTTAAAGCAGCCAGGGTTAACATTACAGTACCTAGTACTAAACACTGATTCCTCTCAGACTTTCAAAATCCTTCTTCACTTGAATTAAGATTATAATCATTTAATTTGAAAGCACAGCGGCCACAGAATCAGACTTTAGCACCTCTTTTTACTTTGAGATCGTTCTGAGGTTAAGTGCACATTTACAATTATCACAAGAAACCGATTAATAGCTATGACACTGTTTTTGAAATCAAATCTTTGCATAGCTATGCCAGGAAACACTGGCATCTAACAATGCCTCGGGGGGAAAAAACAGTTAATCTTAAAAAAAATAAAGCATATACACAAACCCAAATAGGAAATAAAACAGTTATCGAATAAACATGTGTATTCTGTGTACTAAACTCCTGAAACATTGGTGTCTCATAGAGCAGGCAGTGCATTTTATGAAAGAAATCAGTTAAATCTGTGTGTGGGTGCGTGTGAAAATGTTCAGATGTAACCCTCTTTTTAATTGTGAACATTTTCATAAGTAACTGTAATTTAATTACACATTTTTTTCTTAGTAACTGTAACAGATTACAGTTACATTTATTTTGTAATTAAATTACGTAATTCCGTTACATGTACCTAGTTACTCCCCAACACTGACAATTACTATGGTTAGATAACGGGTAACTAAAATATTGCTAAAGTGTTGCTCAACAAAAATTAAATATTACAAAAATCCATTGAAACGCTCTCTCAAGAAGTATGATGTGTTGCTCTTCAGGAACCTCTAGATGGCAGAAGCAAGCAATCATTTCTGCATAGTCTAATCATCACCCCTGTTGAAAAAAACAGCATATGCTGTTTAGGTATGTTTTGACGCTGGGATGCTGGTTTAAGCTGGTCCTTTGCTGGTTTATGCTGGTCCTTTTGCTGGT